GTTTAGGGGGCTTAGGGTTTCATTTTAAGTTTGGAGGTTTAGGATTTAATTTTAGGGTTTGAAGGGTTTAAGGGTTTGATTTTAGGGTTTAAGGGGTTTAGGGTTTCGTTTTTATGGTTTAGAGGATTTGGGATTTAATTTTAGAGTTTGAAGGGTTTATGGTTTCGTTTTTATGGTTTAGAGGGTTTGGGATTTAATTTTAGGGTTTGAAGGGTTTAGGATTTTGATTTTAGGATTTAAGGGGTTTAGGATTTCATTTTTATGGTTTAAAGGATTTAGGGTTTTGATTTTAGGGTATAAGGGGTTTAGGGTTTCGTTTTTAAGGTTTAGAGATTTGAGATTTAATTTTAGGGTTTAAGGTTTAGAGGTTTAGAGTTTGGATTTTTAGGGTTTGAAGGGTTTAGAGTGTAATTTTACGATTTAGAAGTTTAAGGTTTAGATTTTAAGGTTTGAAGATTTGGAGTTTGGATTTTAAGGGTTAATGAAAACACAAATATCTCTAAAAATTTTCGACATCTAGGTGAATTTTTTAAGTAAGTTCGATTTTTATAATTTTTAAAAATTAATTAAAAAATTTTCACATATTTCCTTTTTTTTTATGAAAAATTATTATTATTATTATTTTTTATAATTCTCCAACATCTAAGCGAAATTATATTTTGGGATATGTTTTTATTCCCTCCAACATTTAGGTAGGAAAAATAAAAATATTCTATTCTTATTATTATTCTTTTAGATTATTATTATTATTATTATTTAGCATTTTAAATGCTTTTTTTAGTTATTATCTTATTTTATTTCATTTTATTATCAATAAAAATAATCAAATAATTATTCTAATTAAAAAACTATCATACATAAATATATAAAAAAATTACTCAAAATAACAAAAATAATAATATAAAAATAAAAAATTCAAAAAAAAAAATTTTTTTTTTACATGAACCGGACTGATCAACGACGGTTCGATTGGACCGAAAAGAGTTTGGTTTGGCGCGCGGTTCAATTGAGCCGTATAGGGAGCGATTTAGTCCAGTCTAGTCAAACCAATTCAGAGTTGTGTGAGAAAACCGGGTTGGAGGGTCGATTGCGCGGACCCTGGATCGGATCCGGGTTGACACGTGGATCTCCTTGGCTAAAACGACATCGTTTTAGGTTTTTCTCACGTCATTTTGAGTTTCAACCTTCCATAAAAGCAAAAAAAAAAAAAATTTGCTTTTATTTTTCTCTCCTCTCTCTCTTTAGCTTTCCCTTTTTTCAGAGCTCCTCTCTCTAAACTGTCGGACAGTGGTCGTCCGTCGCTTCGGTCACCGTCTCCAGTCATCGATCATCGGTGATTGAAAAGTCATAAAAGGGTCCAAAAAATTTCTTGTATTCTCCCGAGCTTCAATCTAGCCTTCCTTTTGCTAGAAACTGTCCCGATTGACGTAGATCAGGGTTTGAAAATTTTTATTTTTTATTTTTTGTAAAATGAAGACTGATATGATTTTTTTGTTATTGCAGGGAGTTTTGGCGTTTAGGTTCCTCCCTACGAGGATGACTGTGTTGTGATTCTGTTGTCTCTTTTTTTTGTATTTGGATTTTGGGTATGGATGTGTGTATTTAATTGCGTTTGAGGGTGTTTGGTGTGAGAGGGATATAGGTTGCGACTGGGATTGATAGGCTTTCTGGTAGTAATCGAACCAGGAGTTTTTTGTTAGAGGTCTGAGGCTTTAAAAGGGCTGGTTGGGGGGTTTCTGTTAAACAGAGGGTGAACAGGGTTTGCGGGGTATGTGAGTGGTTGTAAAGGCCTAGTGAGGGGACTCGACAGAGGTAGGTGGTATGATGGCTAGGATAGGGGCGTGGGTGACCAGTGGTGCCGTGCATGGCACCGACCTCTATGTTTTTGTTTTTCTTCATTTAAACTTTTTTGTTTGTCTATTTTTTCTAATTAAAATTTTAATTAATTTTTAATTTTAATTAAACCAAACTTATTGTTATTATTATTAAAATCATTATTGTTATTAAAAAATATAGACCGGACAAAACTAATGTCTACATTTGTGAATGATAATCAATTAGTTTTTAAATAATTTCTACCATCCAACATTATAATTGAATATTTGATCATTTGTGAATATAATTATATCTAATGTTAATATCAAAATGGTCAAATATTAAAATTAGATCAATACTATTAGTTTTTATATATTATGGTTTCTTAAATTTTCTAAGTATTAGTAATTAAGTTTAAACCAATCAAATGATATTATTTTAATGTCTACTATTCAACAATTTAATGAAAATTTAGGGAATTAGTGCATACGAATCAATCTAATATAATTATGTTGATATTTAATTTATGTCTAAACCCTAAAAAAAATGTAAAAGCAAAATTGTTGAAAATTTAACATACTTGTTAAAAAATTATAATATATTGACTAAAAAAGCTAATAATTAAAATAAAAATAAAAAAAAGTTAAAAATAAAAATTTGTTGGACTAACATATAGCTAAATGCCTAATTGGTTATTGGGTCAAGGATAAAAGAGCCTTTTACATAAATGTTTAGTGGGGTTTTTTTTGTAACTTGTTGAATTATTGAAATAATTTTTTTATATAGCCCTGGTTTTGAATTTTACTTTTTTTGGTGTTACCATATATTTATTTTAGCTCACTACAAAACAATTTCTCATATAATCACTAATTCTTTTTTATTCATTCTATAACTATTATTATATATATTAGACATATATATTTGTTTAGTTTTTATTTGAACTTATACAAATTAAAAAGAAATAGATAATATTTAAATACAAAATTATTATATAATATATTTATATAAATATTAATTAATTTTTAAAATTTTAACTTTTAATGTTTTTGTCATATTTATATTTAATTATGTAAAATGTGAAATTAATTATTACATTCTAAATTACAAAAAAATCTTTAACTTATAAAATTTTAAAATTATTCAAACCCTTTTAAATCCGTTCAATTCAAACAAAATTTTAAAAGAATTCAAATCCTAAATAAATCATATTATAAATAATTTGAACCTAAAATTATTTGAATCCAAAATATTTAAATAAAATAATTCGACTTGAAATAATCTAAATTTAAAATAAACGTTAACTCAAAAAACTCAAATGTTACGATTATTCGATCATAATAAAAAATTATATAAAATTCACCACTTCAGCCATAGACAAAAGCGATTGAAAGTGAAAACCAACTACTTCATTTTGAAGTAATCGCCCAATAAGCAAAGGGAATGATGCTCAAAAGAATTAGTTACATATGGATCAAAATTTCAAGAATCCATTTTTTTTTTCCTACAGTATACATGATCTCTAATTCCCCATCTCTGCAGATGTTTACCATCAGATGAAGAACATACTGAGCAAGACGCTTGTTCAATAATTTTAACTGAACAAGCATAAGCAGCCGGAAAATTCAAATATCGGTGAACAAAAATATTTACACCCGCGAGTGGTTCAAAGTCTCTTTTGGAAACTGAACAAGCATCAGATGAAGAACATACTGAGCAAGACGCTTGTTCAATAATGTTAACTGAACAAGCATAAGCAGCCGGAAAATTCAAATATCGGTGAACAAAAATATTTACACCGGCGAGTGGTTCAAAGTTTATCTTGGAATGCATGGTCTTTTCTCTTTCTAGGTTTGAAATTTCATCCCTTAATTCAACTGTTTCAACCAACTATTTCATTGCAAATAATCGCCCGATAAGCAAAGGGAATGCTGTTCAAAAGAATTAGTTACATATGGATCAAAATTTAAAGAATCCATTTTTTTCCTACAGTATACATGATCTCTAATTCCCCATCTTTGCAGATGTTTAGCAGCAGATGAAGAACTTACTGAGCAAGACGCTTGTTCAATAATTTTAACTGAACAAGCATAAGCAGCAGGAAAATTCAAATATCGGTGAACAAAAATATTTATACCGGCGAGTGGTTCAAAATTTCTTTTGGAATGCATGGCCTTTTCTCTTTCTAGGTTTGAAATTTCATCCCTTAATTCAACTGTTTCAACCAACTATTTCATTGCAAGTAATCGCCCAATAAGCAAAGGGAATGATGTTCAAAAGAATTAGTTACATATGGATCAAAATTTAAAGAATCCATTTTTTTTCCTACAGTATACATGATCTCTAATTCCCCATCTTTGCAGATGTTTACCATCAGATGAAGAACATACTGAGCAAGACGCTTGTTCAATAATTTTAACTGAACAAGCGTAAGCAGCCGGAAAATTCAAATATCGGTGAACAAAAATATTTACACCGGCGAGTGCTTCAAAGTTTCCTTTGGAATGCGTGGCCTTTTCTCTTTCTAGGTTTGAAATTTCACCCCATAATTCAACTGTTCATTGATCACGTTTTGGGTTGCTTACTTTCCCCTGTAATATTGAATCAATTACAGCACAGCCTTTAATAAAAAGTCTGTACTACATGCTAAAACAGTGACAGCCATCGAAGAGAAACCAAAGGAGAGATTTAGAGCAGGCTAATGGAAGAACTGACCGGTTGAAGAAGGATCTTCGTGTACGAAGAAACTTGCAGCTACTATCAGATAGCAAAGAATAAGCATTAGTCCTTTGAAGTAGTTCGACGTGCCCTCCTGCAGACGAGAAAAAAAGGTTAACTTCATTTACTTCCCATTGCTGTTTGGTTTAAGCTAGTCTCCCAAGTCGCTTTTTTTTTTCTTGTTCTTTTAGTTTTTTCTTCTTTTTGACATTTGAAACAGTCATAATTTGAACTTTGATCACTGTAATTAAGAGTTTAACATTTTACCAAAGGATCACGTGGCCGTTGGCTTGTTCTTTTTTTTTTTTTTTTTTTTTTTTCAATTATGAAGATTTCTTTAAAGCTTAATAACTATAGTCGATAGCCATAATTAGAGATTAAAGTTCTTGATACACTAACCTGCAGAAAAAAGGCTACAACTATAACAGTTATGAACAGAGTTGCTGTCTCGAAAAGCCTGAAGTGAAAAACATTGAAATGGAGGTTGCAACTGATAAGCCTGACAAGAAGATTGATATGAATAATGAAGGTGGGACTGCAATCCAAGAGAGTTCCGAGCTGAAAAAACAAGCAAAGCCTTCAGCTTTTGCAGGTGCTGCTGATGGTGTGGAGGTCAACAGGAAGGAGGGGCCAAGGTTCAGGGATTTAGGTGGAATGGGAGGAGTATTGGAGGAGTTGAAGACGGAAGTCATAGTGCCTCTTTACCACCCACATTTGCCACGGTGGTTGGGAGTCAAGCCAATTGCTGGCATTTTGCTCCATGGCCCGCCTGGCTGTGGCAAGACCAAATTGGCCCATGCCATTGCCAATGAAACTGGTTTTCCTTTCTATAAAATTTCAGCTACCGAGGTCGTTTCTGGTGTCTCAGGTATTCATCTTCTGTTTTCTTTATATACCTCTTCCTGCTGAATATGATCTTTAGGCTGCATCAACCCAGAGCATGATTCGTGTTTGGACAGATGAAATTATTGCTTAACCTTGATGGGAAGTTATGTATTTGCTAATAATATATATTCATTAATATCTCAGGTGCATCAGAAGAAAATATCAGGGAGCTCTTCTCGAAAGCATACAGGACTGCTCCTTCAATTGTATTCATTGATGAGATTGACGCCATTGCATCTAAAAGAGAAAATCTACAAAGGGAGATGGAGCGCCGAATTGTCACACAGTTAATGACTTGTATGGATGAGTCTCATAGACTTGTGCAACCAAGTGATAAAGAGTCAAGTTTGAAGAGCTCTGATTCCAAGCCTCGTTACGTCCTTGTAATTGGAGCTACCAATAGACCTGATGCTGTGGACCCTGCACTACGGAGGCCTGGACGATTTGATCGAGAGATTGTTCTTGGTGTTCCAGATGAAAATGATAGGCGTGAGATCCTTTCTGTGCTTACACGCAATCTTAGACTTGAAGGTTCTTTTGATCTTTGGAAAATAGCTAGGGCTACACCCGGGTTTGTTGGAGCAGATTTGGCTGCCTTGGCTAACAAGGCTGGTAATCTTGCCATGAAGAGAATCATAGACCAAAGAAAGCATGAGTTTTCTAGAAAATCTATAGATGAGGAACAAGCTGATCAGTGGTGGAGACAGCCTTGGTTGCCTGAGGAGAAGGAAAAAATGACAATTACTATGGCTGATTTTGAGGTAATTAAAGCTACACATTTTTTTTGTCATTTATTTGTATGATTAAAAGTAAGTTGGTGTATGCTTAGTGGCTTGTGTTCTATGCTGTTATCCGCGTGTCAGTCAGTGCCATGGATATCAAAGTTGTTTGGGAAATGAATCGTGTATAATCGTTTCTAGATGCATTTAACTACATTCTAGTATCACTTTGACTAGTATGCAATATAGTTTAATTTCCATGATTAAGAGTTCTAATGAACTATAGAGTTACTCTTGTTGTTTTTAAAATAGTTTGAAGCAAAGGTGGTTTATTTCTCTATCTGTTATGCGGAAGCAATTCTTTTACACTAGAAGGTTTTTTATTAAATTTAATTATGCCCTTTGTTGATGATTTGCTTAAAAATGTTTTTACCTACAGGAAGCAGCAAAAATGGTTCAACCTTCATTTAGAAGAGAGGGATTCTCTACAATTCCAAATGTTAAGTGGGAGGATGTTGGTGGTCTTGATTTCCTAAGGCAGGAGTTTGACCGTTACATAGTTAGGCGCATAAAATTTCCGGAGGATTATGCGGTAATTACAGATGGTTTCTACCTCTTTATTCTTTCACTATCCTGTTCAAAAAAGGGGGAGGGATAACCCTTGAACATAGAAATGATATAAAGGGAGTAGGTTTAGCCTTCTGAACAAGGTAAATAAAAGGAAGCTAACCATGGAAAAATGGGTACAATGTCTGAAACATGTCTTGCATGATCTCCAACTTGGTTGACTTTCAAGCTCATAGCAACTATTATCTAGGCCCATATCTACTTTTGGATTGCTATTATAATATTAGCTTTTCAAATCATCGAGTTATTCACAATTTCAGGAATTTGGAGTCGAATTAGAGACAGGATTTTTGCTTTATGGACCACCAGGCTGTGGTAAAACATTGATTGCAAAGGCTGTTGCTAATGAGGCTGGAGCCAATTTCATTCACATCAAGGTCAGTATACAGCATATATTTCCACCTTTTTTCATTTTCTTCTTCACTTTCTGTTTGTTAAAGATTATGTTAACTGGTGCTTTAATACTGTAAGCTAATTTTCCTATGTTTGTGCTTTTAATGATCATGAGTGCATTTGCTAATTAGGGCCCTGAACTTTTGAATAAATATGTTGGAGAAAGTGAAATGGCAGTTCGGACATTATTCAGCCGTGCCAGGACATGTTCACCATGCATACTATTTTTTGATGAGGTTTGTGGTTCTCTATTTTTGAGTTCTAAATGAAAGGAAAAATACTAGAGAATTTGATTTCTTTGAGGTCTTTCTGATAATATGTAGGTGGATGCTTTGACCACAAAGCGTGGGCAAGAGGGGGGATGGGTTGTTGAGCGACTTCTGAACCAGGTTAAATAATCTGCAATGGCTATCTCTAAACAAATTCATGATGACTTTCGATCCTTTCTGTATAAAAATTTTACAAATCGCAAATAATAACATGGAAACATTGGTCATAATTGCAGTTACTCATTGAGTTAGATGGTGCAGATCAGCGGTGTGGTGTTTATGTCATTGGTGCCACTAATAGGTAGAAAATGTTGTTCCTGCTTTTGGGATGAGGATCAGCCCTTATCATTTATTTACACTGTTTGGCTTTGGCATATGTTTTGGCAGACGTGATGTGATGGATCGTGCCCTCTTACGGCCTGGCAGGTTTGGTAAACTTCTCTATGTGCCTCTCCCCAGTCCAGATGAACGTGGGTTGATCCTAAAAGCCCTTGCTAGGAAGAAGCCAATAGATGCCAGTGTGGATTTGAGTGCCATTGGACGTATGGAGGCTTGTGAAAATTTAAGTGGGGCTGATCTTTCTGCACTGGTATGCCTGATCATTCTACATTAAAATCCTAGAAACTAGAAAGTATCTACTTACCATGTAAGGACTGGTTTTTCCCAAATGACTAATAAACCTTTTTGATGTTTCCGCATTGAACACTGGACATGTTTAGGCTGGCCAAAATGTAAATCACTTTGCAAATACCCCTGATCTGTTGCACAATTCTACACTTGAATAAAGTTTCTGATGTACCTTGTACTTCTATAAGAAATTAAACCATAATCCTGAAACAAGTTGTAAAATTTAAATTACATCGGGCTTGAAAATGATCAGATGAATGAAGCTGCAATGGCTGCTTTGGAAGAGAAACTCACTTCAACTGGGATCTCTGAGACTTCACGGACAATCAAGACATCCCATTTTGAACGAGCACTGCGTAAAATCTCACCCTCAGTCTCCGATAAGGTATAATTTATCTTCAATCACTCAATTATGGCTCCTGATGAAAAAATTATTGATATCATTGACTAGGTAATTAACCTGTATTTATTATCTTGATCATCTGGGAACAGCAAAAACAATTCTATAAGGAATAGTCAGAGAACTCCAAAGCAGGTTGAGAAGAGACAATCCCCATTGATGTACCATTACAGGAGCTGTTATTGATGTCTGATACTCAACATCTGAGACTTGCAATGATCAAAGTAGCCATTCTCAACGTTAAGGTGTGTCTGAATTGTTCAATGTATTCTGTTTATATGTTTCATTTTTTACCCTAATATTGAGTGTTAAATGAAGCTTGCTTCTCTTTTATGAGGGAAAAAAATTTTGTGCCAACAGATTTAAACTTGGTTAGTTGTAGTTATTTGCAGGAAATACAGTGGAGAAACGTGTATTTATCCATTTTAAGCAATGCAAAGGGACTTGTTTTATAAGATCACCCGTTTTAATGTAAAATAATAATAAGTAATGTCAGTGTATTTATCTTTCAATTTGTATATTCGGATTGTATTTTTTATATTAAATATAATTTTTCATGTTACGATTAAAATTGTGAGATCTAAATCACCAAGATGTCTTAGTTCCACCCGGAAAACTATAGCTTTAATTTCCATATGTTTTTTTCCTTTGTTCTTCGGTTTACCGAACTTGACAGTTCAATGAACTGTAACTAACAATTGGAGGCTTTCCCTATGTTAAATGAACTTGACAGTTGAATGAACTGTCACTAATCTCTACTTTTATTTCCAAACTGCTGCATTTTTTAATCAAAAAATTCCAATATCTAGCTTGGAGTTCATGAAATACATTTGCTCAACAAAACCACTCAACAAATTAAACCTAATTTCCTTGAAATTCATTGAAGCAAACATCATACATATGTACTTTCTCTTTACAGTCATGAATGTCATTACAGTGATCTCTTATCCAAATCTTGCACTAATAAGTCCTTGAATCGACCCAATCAAGCCCACTATTGAGACAAGCAAGCAAAAAATGCTGAAACTCCTAAGAACAACCCATTTTCTGGTCCAGGGTTGAATTTTCTTCTGCACGAAGTACATTTCCACGGGAAAATATATAGCTAAAGGCCAAAAGTTCAATGCCCCCAGCACTCCTAATACTTGATTGAAGTATGGGAAGATCATTGCAATTACAGTTGTCGATGCAACATAGGCTGTTCGAAAGCATACCTTAAAGGGATTCACCTGAAATGATGGCAACAATGGTAGTTTGAACGTATAGAAGTTATTCACGAATCCACTGCTTGGGAACTTCTTGGTGAACCATCTCTCCACAAATGCAAACACTGGCTGACCAAATATCTGACAGGAAAAATTGGTGGTGAAACATATGATTAATTAATTGTAAGTAACCAAAAATTTGGGGAATTTCAATATAGCATGAATATTTACCTGATATCCTCCCACCAGGTGAAGAACAATGCAAGCATTAGCAAAATCAATGAGCCAGTAAGGCTCATAAAATCCAAATCCTGTCAATAGATTTCCAGGTGTCTTGTTGCCAAATGCAGCATATCCAAAGCATCCACAACAGAGGTAGAAGAAGGTTGTTACAAATATTGAAATCATTGAGGCTTTTTTCATGGTCTTGTTCTCTGGTGGAGGTGACCTCAAAGTATCCTTCATTCAAACAACTTTATGATTTAGCATGGGAATAAGAGAAAGGGTTGCAAGTGCTTGGACTTGAACCTCAAACATGCTGGATGTCATCTCTTGAGAGTGGCTACATAAACCACCTGAGCTAAGCTCAGTGTTCATTTTACGATTCAGTTTAGATCCTAAAATTGTGTTGCTTCACATCCCAGGTATATAAGAGGTTTCTGCTTAAATTGTGAAAATATCATGTTTGTCCATATATCTGTTTCAGTTATAAAGAAATGAAGCCATACCTGTATTTCAAGAAGAATTATTGAATATGGATAGGCAAATGCAATGTCTCCAAGTGCCTGGAATGCTAACCATAGCTTATCAGCAATATTAGCAGCAGGCACTCCAGTTATACTCCCCTTAATCCTCCCATTTTCTGCAATTGGAAACATGAGTCTTAAATGCAAATCCGGTTATACTCTAGTTATAAATTTTGTTGTCTGATAAACTCAAGATATTAAAAACAAAATATAACATTGAGTTATAGATTTCTGTTCCTTGTTTAGATTAAGTCTGTCGAACACTATAATCCCACATCAAAATATTGTGATATATATACTATAGCAGATCCAGTAACACTGAGCTAACAGCTCAGTGATAGCATTATTAAATTAGAATAAGTAATTAAACACAAATGAGGAAAATTAAAGGCAAATTCACAATTATACCTATCACTTGCGCAAATCCGAGTCCAAATCCTATGAAAGAGTAAGTAAAGGACATGATTGCAGCAACCACTGAAAGCCATTCCATGTTATGGAAATCTGGTATCTGTGACATTACAACCTGAACAGCTCCAAATAGCAGCATATAGGAAATATCTCCATATGAACATGGAGCATGCTGCCCTTCTCTGTGGTAGCAGTTTGATTTCTGAATTGCTCTGTATTAGGCCAAAAATAAAATTAACATAAAGGAATAAATTTAATGATCCTAATCAATCTAAAACCAATCAAAATAACAGGAAATTCAGAAAAGTAGGAAAAAGGATTAGGAATTAAAGATTAAGGCATGGACGGATCCAAATGGCATAGATTGGAAAATAAGAAATTTTGAAGGAAAAATTCTTTTCCATTCCCTCAAAAAAATTTTTGGACACCTTTTTCATCTATAAAATTAGTAAATTGGTTGATAATTTTTCATATATATTATATATGAACTCCCTCAAAATTTCTATCATGCACTTTCCACTACAAAATGCTAGATTAAGAGGCAATAGCCACGAAATATGTTAGTAGAATGTTAGATTATTAGTCCATTGATCAGCTGACTATCTAAAATACCAAAAAGATGGGGTAAATTAAGGGATTCACCAAGTACCTCATACTGGTTGATGTAGTAATTACATAAGCAATATCAGTCCCATACAGGCTCAGGTTTTGAAGAAAAGCACACAACCATGTCCGGTTTCTACCAAGATACAGGTCAACAGCGTCCATGTAAGACTTGTTTCGTGTCCCGTCGTCGGACCTATAACAATCAGAAAGAAGGAAGGCAGAAAGATAGGTGATAATGGCAAAAACAAGCAGGGCAATCGGCCCTGCTATCCATCCCAGCTGTGCAGTGCTCCATGCCAATGACAGAACTCCAGAGCCGATAACAGCAGTGATTATGTGAGCCACACAACTCCACAATGTTCCTGATTCAGTTACCATACACCGTAAAACAAAAGGTTGGACCTAAAAGAAAAGCATAATAACACTAAACCTGAATTGCCATTACCAGTTCTTGCAGGATGTCCATCATCATCACAGGTGCCATTATCGAGGGAGCGTTGAACTGCCATTGTTATCCAGTACTTCAACGCAGACAATCGATTTTGGTCAAAATTTACTACCTGTAGGCCAAATTCGAATAGAACAGTAAATGTGACGAGTGTATTAATGAAGCTATAGACCTAAAAGAAAAGGCTATACACTTTATTACTATCTTTTCCTTCTCTCTCAAATACATTAATTACATCATCTCCATCCTCTTATCAGAAAACACTTCAATGAACGTCATTCCTGAGGCTGTTTCTTTAATACATACAAAGGTGAATTGTATATAAATATATAGAGGTAAAATTTTTATTTTTTTGGATTTTAATCAAAATTATTAAATTTAAAAATGTTATTTTGGTTTAAATGAATCATAAATTTAATTTTGATCCATAATCCAAAAAATGTAAGAGTTATACCAATGTGGATTCATATTTATATATATATATATATATATATATATATATGTAACTGTCTAACTTCAAAACTATTAAAAATGATTAACCTAAAAATCATATAAAATTTTAAATTAATAAATTTATCCTTAAATATATAACTTTTATTAATTTATTTAAGTTTAATGTAAGTCAATATAATTTATGTGAAATTAAACTAATTAAAATTTTAATTCTAAAAGTATTTAAAAGTGATGGGATAAAACACCATTAGTAATTTTTTTATAAATTTTAATTTAAATGAATTTTCTTTCTTATTATTAGACTCATTTTTATAATTAAATTCCAAAAGTGCTAAAAGTTATTGCTTAAAATACTTTTCATAAAATTTTAATTCTAGAGATATTAGACGCGGTTGATTAAAATATCATTAATAAATTTTTTTATAAAATTTAATTTGAATGAATTTTTTTTATTATTATTAAATTTTTTAATTAAACATTTAGACTCGTACTAAGACAAAATATGATTTTCACATCACATAAAAATATAAATAAAATAAGATCAAAATTTATTAGAGTACATGAAAATAAAATAATTATATGAAATTTACGTCTTTATTATTGTAAAAACAATTGCACATGGAACGTGCACTTCTAATTTTACAAATTTGTCTCTATCCTTCTTGATCACATAGGATACTTGATGCCTTCAGCTTCTCGCCTAGTGGCCAAGAAACCTTCAGGAAGGCATATGCATATGGGTTCTAACCCCACCATCCTCCTCCCTCTTGCAATCCAATGGAACCAAAAAAAAAAAAGGCTAGTTAGAATATTTTTAAGATAAGGTTTCTTTGCTTTCGCTCTGGTCATCTCTCTTCCTCGCCAGACTCATCACTTCTCACCCAAGCTAGCACCATAACTCATCAATGGTGAAATTGTAGTGATGAGGAATCAAACAATGAGTGATGAGAGAGTTTGTATATCAATCAATATCCAAAAATTTACAGGGAAAACACTTTATACTTACCAGCTAATAGTTGGAGCTAGAGATGAAGTTTGGCCTTGAACCGCACTTTATATCTATATGTAGCAGCTTCAGCAGTAGAAAATATGTGTTCCTTTTTGGTCTCAATTAAGCCAGTCTCAGATATTTTCTAAAGAAAAACTTCAAATAAAAAGACCAAGGAGAAGTGCATCTTCAACATGACAACATCTTTCCAATCAAATTGCTTTCAGCCCTTCCATTTATATGTAATTGCGTAACGGCCTGTCATTCCGGCTTGTTCCAGTTCCTTTGACTCTGTTTAATATTAATAGGCAACAAATACTCTGTTTTGGTTTAAAAGTTTATAAGTTTAAAGTAAAGTTAGACAATAACAAAGTGAAGTCAAACACTGAATTGAATGAAAAGAAATGTATATTAGTTTTGATAAGTTCAATTATTAATCTTGAGTGATAAAAAAATATTTTTTTTGAGAGGTCGGGGACCCCGCTTTTCTCTCTTGGCTCCACCTCTATGATATAATTTTTTTTTATAAAACATGATAAAAATACATTAATCTTTACGTAATTATTTTTATAAATGAATTTTATTATGATAAAAATTATTAACATTTTCGGTTATACAAATGAAAATATAAATTATGTAATTTAAGCCTAACTTTAGAATCTCAAGAAAGGAAACAAGTGGTAGGTGGGTGATTGGTTGGCTAGTCTTTGTATACGTTAAAGTGAAAAGAAAGATCTAAACCAAGATTGGCTTACTTTCCATCAATGCTTAGGCCCGGACAACTAATTAATAATCGTTCCATCACATCCACTTTCATTCTAGTATAGTAACTTTCACTTGTTTTCTTCAATCCACTTTTGGTTTCTTAACTCACTCAAAAAAATATCAATAAAATATTTTTTATTGATAAAATTAATAAATTTATTTATAATTTTATTATAAATGAATGATGCGCTACATGATAAATAGCAATCTTGATTGTTCAAACGTATAAAGCTGAGCCTAATTGTTGCCTGTCGTATCAAATTGAACGAAACTGAGAGAGACAATGAAAGGAAATCATACAATCGTAATACCAATGAAATTAATCATTTAGTCTCTGCCTTTCTTTTTGGTCCGGGATCAGTGGTTTGCCACCAGTGTCCTCCAAAACAAAATGGCAGTAGATATGCCAAAAGCATTTATGAATGGCAGCCAATCGTAATTATTGTAGATGACTGTTGACTCTGAAGGGGAATTGATTGAAAGCATTTATATTTAATGCATAATTAATATATAATAAATTAATAAATATTTATAAAAAATTAATTTTTAATATATTTTTTAATTAAATATATTTATTTAAAGATTTTAAAATTTTCAAAATTAATATTTTTATGAAATATCATTTCAAAAACTCAAAATTCAAACTTCGACTTGGTCTCGATTAAACTTTATTTTCATATTTGAGTTCAATTCGTAAATTAATTAAATTGTTTAAACTCGGCTTAATATGTTTTATTAAGTTCAATAAAATTATAAATATTAACATTAAATATAATATTTTACCATTTACTTATATATAAGTAATTATATTAAAAAAATAAAAATTTTAATTGAACTCATGAATCTTTTAAATCAAGTATTAATTAATTAAACTCAATTTAATATTCAAGTAACTCGAGTTTACACTCGACTCATAAATGAATGAGTGGAATTCAATTTTTTTTAGTCAAATCCAAATAATTTTATTCGTTTATACTCCTCTCTACAATACATCAATTATAAATCTCTAAAAGATTTAAACCTAAAATAATAATACGAGTTTATATTTAATATATTATTAGTGTATAAATTTTATATACTATGAGTGAATCAAATAATAAAAATTCGTTAATAAAAAAAATAAAATGATAACACTTCATTAATGAATAAGATATCTAAATTTATGTATATTTATTTTAAAGTTGTTATTTACTAATTAATTAATTGTTATCATTTAATTTACCGACATAATTTATATCAATCCTTAAAATAAATATATACAAATTAAAATAACTTATTCATTGATGAAATATTATCATCTAATTCATCTTATTAATAAGTTATTGATGAAATGTTATCATATGATTTTTTCTTATTAATGAATTATCATCATTTGATTTATTGATAGTACATAAAATTTATACATTAATAATATATAAAAAATAAACTCTAATAATGCTCACTTTGTTAATTATCGCCAGTATTAATGCATGTAATTCCAAATTATTACTGATTATCAAAGAAATATAAGATGTTTCATGTGAAAAAAAAAAGTCTGGTGTCATGTTCATCCTAATGACAAAATTGCTTAGATATACACTGACAAATTCTACCGAATTTTGCTGAGTCAGTGGGTAAGGTCAAAACATACATGCAAACAAAGTTGATTTTAGAAGATTGCACCCCAATAAAAATTAAGAAGTTTGATTTAGGAGGCCCATGATTGCTCAATTATCACACCACATGTAATTTTTAAAACTTGATAATATATAATATGATACGATGATATAATATAATATAAAATAATACGAATAAAAGAGATAAAAATAACAAGATTTAAATTTTTAAAAAATTATAAATAAATTTAATAAAATTAAAAAATTATATTTTATATTTTAATATCGACATAAATCGTGATACTTAATTTTCGTATAAAGATAATATAAATATAATATTTTACACAATACAATGACATAAATTATCATATTAAATTTTTGCTATCTGTTTTGTGTAATTATAAAAAAGCCAATGCTTGTTTTATAATTAAAAATATAATATAATAAAATAATATACAAATAATATAATTTAAAATTAAAAAAATTATATATAAATTTTATAAAATTTAAAAAAATATATTTTTACGTTAATATAAATTGTAACATAAAAGTAAAATATAAATATAAATTATTAATATTTTATATAATATTAAAATACCAATTATCAAATCTACCTCTGCCTAAAGTTTTTTACCGTGAAGAAATCCTGAAAATCTATCATGGCTCCACTAGAGATGCTGATTCGAGCCCACAATAAAGCATGGACCCTTGGAATAAGTTTATATGGTATTTGAGCCTGATGATTTAGATATTTACAGGAATTATTTTCATTTTTTCTTAATAAAAAAAACAAGGTTAAATTGACCATTCAAGAAGAAATCCCTGCGTTTTCCCATTCAACTATCCACAAAATCTAATCACCATCGCAAGTCAACTGTCAATGCATAAGATAATTGGGTCGTTGGTAATCGTTTTCGGCATGGAAAAAGAAAAAGAAAAAGATTATACTTTTGGAAAACAAGAAGCGAATCTTTTATAAATTTCAAAGCCAGACGATAAAGACTAAAGATTTTTGAAAAGAGAATCCAAACTTTTGGTTCAATGGTTAAAAGTTATTTGAATGAGTATCAAAATTTTAATTTTGAGTTAAATTTTTTTTTATTTGTATTAAGATTTTATTTTTATGATATAACAAAAAAAAAATTTGAAAAGAGGGAAGAAAACAGGATATAATTAAGGTTGATGATTATTAAGCATTTTTTTCTGATGGAGTGCCGGTAACTTTTGATTCATTTGTTGAAGATCAGAACGAATTTTTGTGATTTTTTTATTTTTTATTTTTTAACTTTTGTGATGTAGTCTATTACTTTTTCAAATTGCTTGCGTCAAGGTTTAGAAAAAACATATCCTTTTTTTGATATTGTTTAAATTTACTGCTTTCTCATCTTCCGAGTTGAAAGAAACGGGAGAAGTATATGATTATATTCAATATCTTTATGGTAGTATCAATTGGTGTGTATATATTTTTTAATTTAACATTCTAATGGAACATTTGATCAATTAGTGTATATAATTACATTTAATGTTGTAATGTTAATATTATGATGCATGTACAAACCAAATCAAAATAGATAGAAGTTTGAGCTAATTAATTAATTATTTATTTATTTATATTAATTTTTTTTTTTGTGAATGATAATTGATAATTTTTTTAATAATTTCTACCATCCAACATTATAATTGAATATTTGATAATTGGTTATATATTATGGTTTTTTAAATTTTCTAAGTATTAGTAATTAAGGTTAATCCAATCAAATGATATTATTTTATTGCCTACTATTCAACAATTTAATTGAAAATTTAGGAAATTAGTGCATACGATTTGATCTAATGTAATTACGTTGATATTTAGTTTATGTCTAAACCCAAAAAAAAATAAATGTAAAAGAAAATTTGTTGAAAATTTAACATGTTAAAAAATTATAACAAATTGACTAAAAAAGCTAATAAATAAAATAAAATAAAAAATAAAAATTTGTTAGACTAACATACTATAGCTAAATGCCCAATTGGTTGTTGGGTTAATGTTTAGTGGGTTTTTTTTTTTTTTTGTAACTTGTTGAATTATTGAAATAATTTTTTTATATAGCCCTGGTTTTGAATTTTACTTTTTTTAGTGTTAGTTGGACTAACATACTATAGCTAAATGCCCAATTGGTTATTGGGTTAAGGATACAAAAGCCTTTTGTATAAATGTTTTGTGGGTTTTATTTGTAACTTGTTGAATTGTTGAAATAATTTTTTTATATAGCCCTGGTTTTGAATTTTACTTTTTTTAGTGTTACTATATATTTATTTTAGCTCACTAAAAAACAATTTCTTATACAATCATTAATTCTTTTTTATTCATACTATAACTATTATTAGATATATTAGACATATATATTTGTTTAGCTTTTATTTGAAATTACATGATAAATTAAGAAAGTAATAGATAATATTTAAATACAAAATTATTATATAAAATTAATTAATTTTTAAAATTTTAACTTTTAATGCTTTTGTCATATTTTATTTAATTATGTAAAATGTGAAATTAATTATTACATTCTAAATTACAAAAAAAAAAGTCTCTAATTTATAAAATTTTAAAATTATTCAAACCCTTCTAAATCTATTCAATTCAAATCGAATTGATTCTAAAATAATTCAAACCCAAAATAATTCATATTATAAATAATTTAAACCCAAAATTATTTAAATCCAAAAATATTCAAATAAAACAATTCAAACTCGAAATAATCCAAATTCAAAATAAATTTTACCTCAAAAAACTCAAATGTTACAATTGTTCAATCACACTAAAAAATTATATAAAATCCACCACTTCAGCCATAGACAAAAGTGATAGAAAGTGAAAACCAACTATTTCATTGCAAGTAATCGCCCAATAAGCAAAGGGAATGATGTTCAAAAGAATTAGTTACATATGGATCAAACTTTAAAGAATACATTTTTTTCCTACAGTATACATGATCTCTAATTGCCCATCTTTGCAGATGTTTACCATCAGATGAAGAACATGCTGAGCAAAACACTTGTTCAATAATTTTAACTGAACAAGCACAAGCAGCCGGAAAATTCAAATATCGGCGAACAAAAATATTTACACCAGCGAGTGGCTCAAAATTTCTTTTGGAATGCATAGCCTTTTCTCTTTACTAGGTTTGAAATTTCACCCCATAATTCAACTGTTTCATTGATCACGTTTTGGGTTGCTTACTTTCACCTGTAATATTGAATCAATTACAGCACAGCCTTTAATAAAAAGTCTGTACTACATGCTAAAACAGTGACAGCCGTCAAAGAGAAACCAAAGGAGAGATTTAGAGCAGGTTAATGGAAGAACTGACTGGTTGAAGAAGGATCTTCGTGTACGAAGAAACTTGCAGCTACTATCAGATAGCAAAGAATAAGCATTAGTCCTTTGAAGTAGTTCGACGTGCCCTCCTGCAGATGAAAATAGAAGGTTAACTTCATTTACTTCCCACTACCGTTTGGCTTAAGCTAGTCTCCCAAGTCGCATTTTCTTTTTCTTGTTCTTTTTGACATTTGAAACAGTCAAAATTTGAACTTTGATCACTATAATTAAGAGCCTAATATTTTACCAAAAGATCACATGGATGTTGGCTTGTTCTTTTTTTTTTTTCTTTCCAATTATGAAGATTGCTTTAATGCTTGATAACTATAGTCGATAACCATAATTAGAGACTAAAGTTCTTGATACACTAACCTGCAGAAAAAAGGCTACAACTATAACAGTTATGAACAGAGTTGCTGTCTCGAAAAGCTGGAAGTTTAAGTCCATTTCCCGCCCCATCATCCAACCAATAACAACACAAAAAGGAATCTGCAGATTCAACAAGAATAGGTTTAGACGACCAAGGCAAAAGAAACAAGATATTAACAATAATAACATATTAGCCGTAAAAAATAAAACAAATATTGTGGATCAATTTCAACTTCAGAGTCCAAAGTTAATCAATATTCCAGGACTCAAACATTATTTATGCTTTACACATCATCACAAGTTGTCACATAACGAGAGTGGAGATTGCTAAATAGTTTACGATAATGAGCCACCCCTAAACATGAGAACACATATCAGAATGAAATATAAGTGCTTCAGTACTTGGTGCTAGCAATCAAGGAATAAAATCAAAAGTAAACCCAAAAAATCCTAACATAAGGAAGTATATGACATGATGCAGTAACATCAATACAAATTGGCATATCCAATGTACAGCACCTACCCCAAACATAGAAATCTGAGTTGATGAACCTATTGCCACTCCCAAGGATATGTCCTGCAGAGAAGTTTATTTATTAGCAAGATATAAAAATTTTATGAAATGAAAGTTAAGAGAATCACTTACAAGCTTGTCTTTCATGGCAAACATGATAGCACTTGCATGCTCTGCAGCATTCCCGATAATGGGGAGCAAGATAACACTAATAAATGCAATTGGCACATCCCATGTGTCGGATGCTCCCTGAGAAACAACAACCAGACAAGAGAAGGATCTTAAGAACGAAGTTAAAAACAAAAAAATCAATCTTAAAAACCTGCTAAGTGTTAACTAGTTACAGCTGCTGCTAACAAGAGCAGATGTGGACCTCCAACAAACCTACATACAAATAATATCAGGGATTCATGTTCAGATTAGTTTGACTAGACCCCTAAGTTATGACCAAATTTAATGGAAACCCATTCCTTGTTCAGAACCACCTTACCAACCATTTGCTCCTAAACATGACACTAGCAGATGCATATCATCAAACCAGTATATTAACACCAGTGCAAAAATGTAACATGCACTAGTTAATTTGGTAATGGCGCCAAAAATTTAACAAGTGAATTCTTTGAGTGACCTATGATCTTAAATGTTTTAACATATCCATCTTATTAACCAACAAGAAGAAAGATTAAAACCCAAAATGTAACCTCTATGGTGTCCACCAAATAGTCTGATAAGATAGAGATCCAAGCAGTCATGATTGCAAGCCAAATCAATGATTCCAATTTGGAGATCTCTGGAGCTTCATCATCATCCGAGTTCTCCTCATTCTGACTTCCTTCCTGATATCATACCATATGCCACACCACTTAGTATTCTACACAAAGTGTTTGGAGACAAAAAAAAAATCACTTATTATATCCAAAATATAATAATAACAATGATTACCAACCTCATCAATAGGGACATATTGATCATTTTGACTTTTTAACTGGAAAACAAGATAGGCAGCATAGGCTAGAAGCATAACACAACTACTAAATCTTGAAAGAGTCAACTCTGACTTCCCAGCATGCCGTTCAGTGTGTGTGTAGTGGAGGACTGCTGGGAAGAGTAGGCCCATTACTGCCATTAGCAGCAGTCCAGAATTGACAACAGCTGTGGCCTGAATGAAAGTTTAATTCAGTTTAGAGTGATCAAATAAGGAAAAATAACAGAAATAAAATTAGACAACACACTAATATCTTCACCTTGCTAAAAACCTGTTCCTTTCTATGATACACAAGCCCGCCACAGAAGAACGCACATCCAAGAACAAGTAACATGTTTGACAAAATTGAACCCAACAACGACAGCTGAACAACACGTATCATTCCACTTTTCAGTGCATAAATCGAAATAATCAGTTCTGTTGCATTCCCAAATGTAGCATTTAGAAGACCCCCGACTGCAGTCCATTTCAACATATTAAAGACCATTACTGATATGAATTTTATAAATAACAAAAGTTTGAAGGATCATTTTAAAAGGCAATATGGCAACCACTTTAAAATCAACAAACCAGCTGCTTAATCCAGAAAATAACAAAAAGTCATAACAATTAAGAGTAAAATAAATACCTGTAGGTCCAGTGAAAAAAGCCAACTGCCTAAACACAATAAAATTTAAAAAGGCAATGTTAGGTGCCAAAAGAGCAACCAGTATCATCAAAAGACCAAATTCAATGAAAGAACATGAATCCTTACTCTGTAGCATAACCCAAACGCTCAGCCAAAGGTGTTATACCCAGTAAGCTTAGAAAGAAGACCCACCCCTGCAATCCACCTCAGTAATTACGCAACTTATATCAAAAACAAAACCAAGCAATGAAAGGCATCAAAACTAAAACTCACATTATGAGCAGTCATCTTATGAACCAGGATTGCTAGAGGCCCAAAAGGCATGAGCAGATTGAGCTTATTTGAGAAAACTACGGTCTTTATGCTCTTATAGACACCATTTCTTATCCTTTTATTACCTCCAACAGGCAAACTACCAGAAAGTGATACATGTTCATTTGAATCAGTAGACTGTGTCTTTTGAGCATCCATTTCAAGGGAATAAATGCACTTGTCATCGAGATCATGCATTGACTTATCATCCAGTGGTCCCATCTGCAACAATAAGCATTAAAACATTAGAAATGCAGGCTAGAATACACTCACAAGAACTAGCAACTCCAAAAGGATATCCCCAACCAGAAGAAGGGTTGAAAAAAAAAACGGAGGAGGGTTCAACATAAAAAATGAATGAACTGGAAGTTTAACTTAGTTGGTTTAAGATACGAAAGTGATAGCTTAAAATTTCAGCAATAACTAAATATGAGTTTAACAAAACTAAAAAAGTGTATTTTATGTTTTCATGTCGACACAAATTATGACATGCAATTTTTTTGTAAAATAAGATACAAATACAAATACATAGATTTCAATATTTTTAATGACACGAATACACAAATCGCCAGATCTACCCTATCTTCAGGCTACAACCTCCTTTATACCAAGAAAAAAAATAAAAAATGAATAATAACGTACTTCAAGGTGGGATTGAACTCCGACTTGCAGCTTATAATCCATCTTCACGTATCAAAAGAGCAGTAAGTTCTCCATAGCCATCAACATAAAAAGCATCATAAAATCATGCGTTTGGTTTTTAATTCCTCAAGGTCTAAACAACATAAGCAAAATTGAATTTTTCTATCAATTCATATTATAACAAAATCAAACATAAGATTTTGATTTCCAAGCCTTATATGCATCAAACTGAAACCTACTACATCAAATCAATCCCCGAAAATATTAAAGGATTCAATTCCAAACAGTCAAAGGAGAAATTATGATACTTGTTATTCATCAAGTGCATAAATTGCATCAAATATCAATGTAAATGCATAATAAACAATCCCAAGAACATGGAAAAGAAACAAAGGGTCTGAAACGTCAATGGATCTGAGAAAGAACAAACCTTTATTGCAAATCTTAGGCAGACCTGAAATGGGTATGAATCAAAAACCCCAGAAAAAAAAGAAACAGAATAATTTTCTTACCGAAAAGAAAAAAAATTTTTTTTCTTTTGGTAAGAAAGAGAACCTCAAGGGTAGCGCAGCAGATTCTAAATTGAAAGCGGGGGTGGGGGTATTTGTAGTTTTATAAGTTACGATTCTCCGTTTTCTTCGTGTATCAATTTCCTAGTAATAATTTGAACTACTTTTTTGCAAACTAGAAGGTAGGGGTCAACAAATTAAAAATAAAATTTTTTTTTTTGCAAACTAGAAGGTAGGCGTCAACAAATTAAAAATAAAAATTTTTTTTTTTTTTCGATTTGATTTGGATTAATTTTTTTATTTAGTTTAAATTAAATTTAGATATTATATATATATATATTAATTTTAAATTAAATTTTGGATAAAAATAAAAAAATTTAAATTATATGAAATATATTTATTAATTTTTATATTTTTTAAAATTATTATAAAATAAAATAATTATTTTATATTTAAATATATTAAAATAATATTAAAAAATTAAATTTAAAAAATTAATGAATCAATAAAATCTAATTCTAATTAGATCAGATCATGTGAAAAATTGATTTATATTCGAAATAAATTTTAAAAAATTTATAATATTATATATTATTAAAAAATCAAATAAATTTTAATTCAATCAAGCCCATTATTTTCCTTACTTAAGGTTAAAAAAAAAGTTAACAATGTTATATGGATAATAAGTTTTATAATTTTAATATAATATAAATATGTATAAAATATATATAAATAATTAAAAATTTTATAACTTAAATTGTAATATAAATTATATACAAATTAATTTTAAATTTATGCGATGTATGTTAATATAATTATAGATTGTAACTCAGTTTTCTAAACTAACATTTAATAAATTAATAATATTTTATAGCAATGTATGTTAGAGTGCTTAAAAAGAAAAAATATATTCTAATATCCTAATTAGAAAATACGAAAATATATTTAAAGTAATTAATTTTTTATTTAGTTTTTATTTTATTTTTATTATTAATCAAATAATTACGAATAAAGAAAAAATATTAGATACTCCAAAAGGGAATAAATGAAATTAATTTAATCTAATTAATTATCTTTAAGTAATAAAAATATTTTAAAAAAATAAAATATATTTATTAGAGATACATTACAAATTTATAATCTCCTCTACATATAAAAATGTAGCCTATTCACTTAAAATTATTTTTGTATCAAAGATTTTAATTTTTATATATTTATATAAATTTTGATAAAAATAAAAAAAATATTTTGTATTTCATTCCTATAAAAAATATGATATGATATTTATATTATTAGAGAGAGATGAGATGAAGGCAGATTTTATTAGATAGGACAATAAAAGTGGGATTCCAAGTCTTATGGAGGATGAATTCTATTTTTATGGCATAAATAAATAAATAATTATATATATATATATATTTTAGTAAGAAGTAGTAGTAATATCTAATATTAGAAAATAAAATTATTATTTTTTGTTTTATATTATTAGGTTTTATTAATAATAATATATATATTTTTTATAAATCTAATGTTCATTATTATTTTGGATTGGCGGTTTCCATGACGTGCCCCTTCTTTCCGGGAAATTTCGCACCCTTCTTTTTATGTTTGATTTTACGTCAATCAAATCCAAATTCCCTTTCAACACCAACAATGACCGAATCAACGTGCAGTGCCAAACAAGGGTCCGTGATGGGTAGCTGATTCAGTCCGTGATGGGCAGCTGATTCAATTTTCTCTTATTTTTTTATGTTCATATTTATTCACAAAAAAATTATCGGTAAATTTATCAATTTTATCAATGAAAAAAATGTTATAAAAAATTTTTGAATGAAATGAAAGAAAAGTTTTCTTTCGAGTTTGTTATTTTTTAATCTTTAGTCGATGAACATCCTATACTAATGCATATGGATCCATTTTTTACAATGATACGATATAAATAAATAAATAAATAATATATTTTGATATTTTAATAAAAAAATACATAAATTTAACAAAAATAAAAAAAAATTATGTTTAATATGTCTATAGCAATATTAGAGTCATAATTTTTTTTTAAAATGTTCACTTATAATATATATATATATATAAATATAACTATTAATAAATCAACGTGTAATTACTCAAATGATAAAAAAAAAATATTTTTTTTTATTGTACGAGTTTAAATCTGTTAAAAACTTATGAAAAGATATTTTTCGTCTCTAAACTTTTAGTCTAATGATTAAAAACGTTTAAAAGATATTAAAAATTTGATTTTGAGTAAAGTCTTCATTTTTTTTTTATTTCTATTAAAATTTTGTTCTTTTGATGTAGTAAAAAAAATTATACTAAAAATTTTATCCTTATGATGTAATAAAAAAAATATAATTTTCAATAAATTTGTTAAGCCCGACATAAATATTTAGACCAACCTGAAGAGGGAATATACTAAGTCAAGCCTAAAAACTCTTTGTTGCTAAACAAAAAATTGTTGGCAAATTTACAAATTTTATTAATGAAAAATATGTCGAGAGAAATTTTTGAGAGTGTTAAACAGATTTTTTTTTCAAATTTTTAAATTTCAATCTTTGAAGGTGTGCATTAACATATGTACATATAAATCTGTATTTGATTGATACAAATTATAATATAATAATTTTTATATTTTATATATTTTTTAATATTAAATAAATATATATAAATACATAAATTATTATAGATATTATTATGTCTATAACGACAGAATTTCTTCTTATTATTCTAAACTTCACTCATAATTGACGAATCAATTCCATATGCTATTCAACTTTCAGTTAAATTGTTTTAAAGTATGGCGGGTTATAGGGTGCAGTCCCATTGTCGACTAATGGTTATTGGCTATACCAACTCTCTTGAAGCAAAAGAAAAATGAGATATAATCTGAAATGGAGAAAAAAAAAATTTCAAATGCTGTGGCGTTCAAGTAGAAAACTGTATTGGAGTAGATCAAACGAATTGGGTAATCCATAATACATTGATATTATACGATTTAATATGATATGAATTATGCTTTACACGATTCATTGCTATAATTACAAGTTATATATTTATTTTAGATTAAAGATTTGGAATCCATTGGACTGACAAAATCAGGGGCATAGCTAGGGGCTAGCAAGGGCTATGGCCCCTCCCCTCAAAAAATTTTTTACACCCACTTGCCAACTCCCCGAATTTCTTTTAGACCATTGTAGCAAAATACTTCGTCCCATCAAAAACAATATTTAATTCATTTTTTTCTATTAAAATTATTATTTGACCCTTCATTTCTCGTATTGTTAGCTTCATCTCTAGGCACGATTAGTGATGGCAACGGGGACAAATTTTTATTCGTTTTGAATTCGATTCGATTTTAAATATATAATATTCGAATTCGTACTTAATTTGATAATTTTTTTTATTTTTAATATTTAAATTTGATTCGATCTGATATTATATAAAATTAAATTCGATTCGATCCGAAATTAATAAAATATTATTTTAAATATAAATATAAAATTAAATATATATAAAAATATATATAATTAAATATAAAATTAAAAAAATAATTTTTTTTATATATATCAGGTCGGGTAGGGTCGGATTTGTCAAAAACCCGACTTCGACCTGACCCTGAAAATTTTTTACCTTACTTGATCCCGATCCGAATCGATACTCGATTTTCAAAAAAAAAAATCGATCCTAAACTGTAGAATTGTGTCGAAACCCAACGGATTCGGATATTTTTACTTTCCCTAAGTACGACATAACCCATTAAGAGTCAATGCCAGCACATAGACACATAAGCTGGCATGGTACGGTACAAAAATACTAATGTGTCGAATTGCATTAATTGATGTTGTGTTGTGACTATCCATAAATATTATAAATGAATTTAATATGTTATTTATTAATTGTATTTTATGTTACTCCTATAATAAAATGAATGATTTTTTTTTATCTTTTTGATACTTTATATTAGTTATTTATAAAAATTAAATTATATAAATAAACCTACTTTAAAATATATAAATTATTAATAAATAAAATTATAATTTTTTCATTTTAATTTATCTTTTTCTAAAAAAATGAACTATGAAAGGCATATTACTTAAAAGATTGATTATGAAAAACCAAGAATAATATAAAACACATGATATAAATGAATCATCGTGTAGTGAAAATGAAAAATAAATAATAATGTGATATTCTTCTTCTTTTTTTTAATTTAGAAATGTAACATTTGTATTTGTTAATTTTTCACATATTATTTTAATAGATTCTTTTAACCTTTATTATAAACATAAATATTTTTTCAAACCATATGAATTATATGTCTCATATATTAATTTCATTTGTTAAATTTTAAAGATAATTAAAAAATAAAAAATTCTTAAAAAAATTATTAATGGATCAGGCTTGACCTAATACGAGATGAAAAATAGTGCTATACAAGGCATAGCATGACTCATAAAAATTATGGATCATGTGTCATGTTAAATTATATTCTTAATTTTTATGAATTGTACCGACACAAAATAATAAATAATAATATTAGACTAACATATTCTATTAACAAATGAACTAATTTTTTTAATGGATCGTATCAATCTAACATGTACTTTGAATTATATATTTAACTCCGTCAAATCTAAAAGAGGTTTGATTATATATTTTCAAAATGGTAATTTTGTTATATTGTTCTAACAGTTATGAATTTTAATATTGAGACAAAAACTTAAGATATTGTAATATACTTATTTTATATTGAATTCTACTAGAATTTTGCCTCGTGTTTTTTTTTTTTTGGAGGGATTTTTAAATAAGTTTTGTGCCGTAATTTTTTCCCACTTTGGAGGATTTTTTTATATAAATTATTCTTTAATTTTTTTGCCTATATTATTGATTGCTTGGTGTAAATCACATTTTATCTCGAAATTATTTTGATCAAACCAAGTAGTCAAAATTTGTGGATCTTTTCACATTATTCAGCTAATATTTTTATTTGGTGTCTAATACTAAGTTGATTATGCGAAAAATGTGGGAAAATGTTTTAGATTAAGGGTGAGAAAAAATTGAGAAAATCAATTTAAAATTATAGTATTTGGTTTAGTTTGAATTGATTTTTTTTACTCAATTTGAATATTAAATGTATATATTAAATTGTGATCAAATTTTGAATTCAAAAATGAAAAACTAAAAGAAACTAAACCGAATTATATATTTTTATTAATTTTTTATATTTAAAATTTTTATAAATAAATAATTATTTTATATATAAATTTATTAAAAATTATATTCAAATAATATATATAAAAAAACAAAATATTTAAGATTTAAAAAAACTGATGAAACAAACTAAACTAATAAAATTTGATTCAAATTAAATTGTTTTGAAAAAAAATTGATTTAAATTTTGATCGAATTTTAAAAAATTATAATATTATATATTAACAAAACAAAAAAACCAAGTTTGATCTAATATAAACTTTTAAGGTTATAATAAAACTGAACCAAATCAATATAATGAGAAGCTTGAGTTTAAGTTTGACTTAAAATTCGTTACTCGAAACTCAACTCGAGCTTAATTGAGTTTTAAATTTCAAATTTGAACTCAACTTTAGATAAAAGTTAAGTTACTCAAACTTATTCGATTAAACTCATTTATTAAATAAAAAAAGAGTTCGATCTCATATTCAATTTTAAGTTCGATTATTTGTGTTTGAATTTAAACTTGAGCTCAAATTCATATATATATATATAAAAGTAAAATAGTAATTTTTTAATTAAAATAATAAAAATATATATTAAAATATAAAAACTCTATTAAATTCACGAGCTCTTCGAGCCAAATATTAGGAAGTTTGAACTTGACTCGTTTTATAAGTTGAGTTGCACTAGCTCGAGCTCAACTCAACAATAATCTAACTAAATTCAAATTTTACTTAAATCAAACTTAAATAATTTACGAGTATTAATATATTATTTACACCTATACACGAATTTTCAAATCTAAATAGATATTCAACGGTAAACCCATTAAACATAATTAATACAAAATTATTATTTCATGTATATATATAGTTAGGGAGAAGAAGTCTAAAGGGAGGGAGAGAGGATTCAAACTTTAAACCTCAACTCTCTCTCAAAGAGTACTAACCATTAGTGTTGCTTACATTTAACCATAAACAGAAACTAAACGTAAGAAATGCCTAATTATAATATTAACTGAACAGAACAAGCACAAGAACAGTTGCATAAGCACAGTTGCATCAGCACGTCAGACTAATGCTTTTAGAAATGAAACCATCTTGTTTCTTCTCCTGGCTTTAACATCCTACTCCTAACTAATACCACTTCTGCTTCAATTGATCCTGCTGTTGGCTTGCTTATTATCTGCAAAGTTTAGTCAGTAATTACTTCATTAGTTAAAGCATAGCTTAAATTTATGATAAATGTATAATTTAGCCTCTAAACATATGAAAAAATGCCCAATTAAATATCCGAACTTCATTTTTGTCAAGCATTTTACCCTATAATTATGTTAATGATAAGCAGATGTGGTAAAAATGATCAACACTAAATGAAAAATGACACATTTTTATTGATCAGTATTTTCACGTCAGCATTTTGACTAACGGTGTTAGTAAGTAATGTAGAATACTTGACGGAAAGAAAGTTCAGATGCCTAATCGTGAATTTGTGAAGGCTGTAAATAAATAACAGCTAACCAGGATAAAGGGTCTTCATGTACAAAGTAACTTGCAGCCACTATCTGATAGCAGAAAAGAAGCATTAGTCCTTTGAAGTAATTGGCAGTTCCTTCCTGCAAAGTGCAAACGACACCATTTACGTATATTATATATCTTTCTATTTTATTCTAAGTTACATCTTTTTTTCTTAACAAAATTTCCCATTTACATACCTGCAACATGAAAGCTACAAATAAAACAGTCATGAACAGAGTTGCTGTCTCAAAAAGTTGAAAGTTTAAGTCCACTGGGCGTCCAATTATCCACCCAATAACCACACAAAAGGGAATCTGTGGTATACAAATTTAAATTGCAATACATGCAAGGCAAAAGAACATCAGTTTCCAAATTTGCAATAAAAAACAAACAGAATGTTTTATGAATAATTCGTGAATTTTATTTGTATTTATTTATTAAATTTAATAAGTGATCATGAATAGCATTTTAAGATTTATTAATTAAACAAATAGATTATGAACAGAGCAAAATTTATTTATGTTCAGTTCAATTATAACATGAAAATGTAAATGAAGAGAATGCTTAATGAATAACATTTTATGATTCATTAATTAAATGAATAGATCACAAATATAACAAAGATCGTTAATGTTCGATTCATTTACACCCCTATTTACAAGCATAAAGGAGCAAGTTCATCATTTGGCACTTAGTAACTCTTTGCAACTTTGAGAACCATCAAACCCAAACTAAGCTTAACAAATCTTTAAGATCTAGGAATTATGCATTGCAAACCATTTTGTTAATACAAAAAGGGAAGCTATCAAATGAAAAACACCTACCAAAAACATAGAAATCTGCGTTGATGACCCTATTGCAACTCCCAAAGACACATCCTGTGGAGGAATTTAATTAAAGGAAACGATATTAAGCTATAAAAAAGTTTCAGAAATGGGGAGAAAATCCCTTACAAGTTTATTCTTCATGGCAAACATGACTGAAGTGGTAACTGCTGCTGTGTTTCCACCTATAGGAAGCAAGATAACACTGATAAAAGCAACTGGTACGCCCCAAGCAAGAGATGTACCCTGAAGAACAAAAATGCAAATAAGAGAAAGGTCATATCTCTTGGAAGAGACGAATTAGAAGATCGAAAACAATTTCCAGAAGTTACATGCGCATGGAAATAGATTATTTCTCTGTTAAAAAGTAGACTTAACAATTTGTGTATCTGTGTCGTGTTCGTCTAATATCAAATATGAAATTTTTACCAAACCAAATCAACCCAAGAAGAGGAAGGTAAGCAGCCTATATTACCTCAATGGCATCAACCAGATACTCTGAAAGGATAGAGATTGCAGCTGCTGTAATTGCAAGCCAGATTACTGATTCCCATTTAGAGATCTCAGGAGCTTCATCATCATCATCATTATCATCTGAGTTCTCTCCATTCTGACTTTCGTCCTGATTTCGTACCATTTGTCAAACCAGTAATTAATAATTAAGTACATAATAAAGAGAAAATTAACAAAAGCTAGCTATGATGGATCACCAGATCTCTTAGATTCTTTAACTGGAAAATGATATAGGCAACATAGGCTAGAAGCATAATGCAACTACTAGATCTTGAAAGAGCCAACTCTGATATCCCCAAATGCACTTCAGTGTGTGTGCTATGGAGGAATACTGGGAACAGTAGCCCCATGACCGCCATTAACAGCAGTCCTGAATCGACAGCAGCTGTTGCCTGCAGGATAGTTTAGTGCAGCTTTGGGATGAACAAAAAGGTAAATAAAGAACTGAAAGAAAATCAGAGGGAGATGACAATATATTAACCTTGTTGAAAACCTGCTCTTTTCTAACAATCCCACCAAAGAAGAATGCACATCCCAGAACAAACAACAGGTTTGACAAAAGTGAGCCAAGCAATGACAGCTGAACAACACGTATCTTTCCAATTCTCAGTGCATAAATTGATATAATAAGTTCTGTTGCATTTCCGAATGTAGCATTTAGAAGCCCCCCAACTGCAAATTCCAGCCACATTCAATATTAAATTTGATATTAATAATATAATATTTTAGTTCTAGGAACAAATTGAAGTTGACCAGAAAGTATATATATATATATATATATATGGCAACTGGCAAGCACATAATGACGTATTTTTTTTACGTAGGATGCCGCAGCCCGGAAACAGAGGACAGTGCTGCAGGCTCTGAATGTTAAGTCTTGAAGGTGGCTGCAGGAACTTCGGATTCATATACTGATGCATGTTAAACTAACAAATACTTGTACAATCCAGATAATATATACCTGTAGGACCACTGTAAAAAGCCAACTGCCTAAAAGGAAGGCAAAAAAAATGCAATGTTAGCTGCTGAACTGAATGGTTTTTCTGAGATTGAAGAGATTTACAGGGAAAAATTAATATCAGTCCTTACTCTGTAGTATAACCCAACCGCTCAGCCAAAGGCATTATTCCCAATAAGCCAAGAATAAAGACCCAACCCTGCGATCCATCTCAGCAAATCAATGACATACATATATACATATATACATACATTTTACAAATGTGTAAAACTCACATTTTGGCCTGTTTGTTTCTGGACAAGGATTGCTAGAGGTCCAAAGGGAATTAGCAAGTTGAATTTCTTTGATAAAAGTACAGTCTTTATACTCTTGTATATGGCATTCCCTATTGTTTTCCTGCCCCCATCCGACAAACTATCAGACAATGCTTGTTGTTCTATGGCATTAACAAAATGTCGCTGTCGCTGTTGAGCATCCCTTCCAGGGCTGTCATCATGCACATCTATGGATCTATCATCTTGTGATTCCATCTGTGCTATATCAAGCATCAGCACATTAGAAATCAAAAGCCCTTTTTATTTAAAAAATTGATAAATCCATCGATAATTTTTTTATATATATGATAAGTAGATACGCAGGAAAAAAATCCTAAATCCGGCACTAAACATTAATTTCTACATTAAAAGATTGCATGCAATTAATGCAACGATGAAGTCGACTCATGTGTTAGTAGTAAAAGAAAACAACTTACTTCAAGGTGGGATTTGACCCCTAATATTTGTAGCTTGTAATCCATCTTCTTGTATTTAAATTCAATACCAGTACATGTTAGTTCTCTATTCCTGTTGATACAAAGAGCATCCCTAATTCATGTGTTTCAGTTTCTTAATTGATTTCTGGTGCTCCTCAATGTCAACTTTTTTCATTCGAATAAGACTGGATGTCTAATGCAGGTCATCACAATTAGATTGCAGAAGAAATCTATGGAACTTAACCAAAAGTACAGCAAGCATGCTGGAGATCATCCAAAAACTGTAACAATAATAGAATTTCAAGACAATATCTGATCATCAAGGCTGTCTGAGATTGAACCCTTATCACGGAAACTAAGAATCTTGTATTCTACTAAAATATCACAAAGCTTCAGAATTGTAGCTATTAATGCCTCGAATAAAATTTATTGAACAGCATCGAATTCATCAATCCACAAAAATTAGGACCTCGAAATGCAATCTTAAAAGAATAAATTAACTACACGCAATCAAAAGCATGCATGTAAAAGCAAACACCAAGTAAAAATGATTTTTTTCTCTTTCTTTTACGATCATTTTTTACAATTTGATCAGTTTCAAGTGCAGAAATTGGAAGCCACACGTTTCCTAATATCAATCCTACTCAAACTCAAATAAGTCCCTAAAATATCCCCCATTACCGTTACATTGCTGACTTATTCAGCCCATCAAAAGGCAAAGTGAAAAACAAGTACCATGACCAACAACAGCATAGCATAATAGACTTTTAATTTCAATAATCAGATTCAAATCCCAATAATTTAAATACAAAAACAAAACAAATACAGTGTAAGTCATGCAGTATACAACAATTATGAATGAATATATAGATTACCATATATGTAGTAGTTTCAAGTCAGCAACACTCACAGCAACATTGGCCGTGCATAACGTTCCATTGCACAGAACACATCAATCAACTATTCATATGCCACATGAAACAAACCTTTGTACTTAAACACATGTAAAATTGCTTTCGTATAAATAAATATATATATATATATGTAATTCTACCTGTTGAGGGTTCAAAGTGGCTGGCCTAAGCAATTTGATATTTTCTTCAGATATGAGAATTAGAGAATGTGATGACTTGAACTCTACTCAGTGTGTTAAACTGGAGAACGATGGTTTTATAGTTTGTGTTGCTCGAGAGTGCAAGTCATGATGCTTGACTTGGAGGCACAGCATGATTAATTATATTATTTAAAATCAAATTGAATTATTTAAAATCAAATTATTTTATTTTATTTTCATTAATTAAATTTATTATTTTTAAAAATTAACCGAATGAATTAAATTTGATCAGTTCGATTAATTTTTTTGTTAATAGTTAATTGAATAATAAATAAACTTAAATTAAACTATATTTTAAACTTTTAATTTTTTATATTTTACATAAACTAAATAAAATTATTAAACAAAACATTTAAATACCATTGTTCAAAAAATATATTCAAATATTTAAATATTTTGTAAAAAAAATTCTAACAATTTATACAATAAAATAATTCATTTAATATATTTTTTATTTATATTTAAAATTTTTTATATTTCACCAATAATAAAAAAAATTTTAATTATTTTATTAATCTATTGAAATTAATTTAATAATAAATTATTAAACGAATTAGATCGTTTTAATCAATTAATTTGACCTTATCCGAATTACAAACACAAGGGCACTGAAGAAAGACGTAGCCAGAGAGTCCAAGTCATAATGATTGACTTTGGAGGCACTGATGATTAAGTCCCTGCAAACTTAGACCGAGTCAAAGCCTATTGTGTCCTTTTGGCCATGACAGAACACGATACTTAACTAAACTGTGGTGGCCTTGTCACGCGCGGAATCCCATAAAACCTAATACTCCTAGACACTTGACAGCCGATGTGGGATCTGAAGAGACCGGGAGCCTACAGACACGATTTTACGGCTCCACACATCCGCTAGTCACTCAAATGCCTTTTTTGGCCTTGGCCAGAGACAGAACACGCCACTTAACACAACCATTGGTGATCTGGTCAAGCGCGGAATCTCATATAACCTAATACGCACACACACTTAACAGCCTATGCGGGAACTGCAGACACCCACTATTGGGGAGAAAAAAAAAAAAAGCACAAAGCTGAAAAAGCTGAAATTTCAGCTTTTTCTTAACAGTGCATTGCAGTACTGATGCACTTTTAATGCAGGAAACATCATCCACATATGCTCACATCGGAAATTAATGTTGTAATTTGTAGCTGCATATTGGTTTCTTGTTGCAACAAAGACTCGTGTCTAGTTACATCAACGGACAAGATACTCGTTATTTTTTAAATCATATTTGAATTTGATTATTCTTTAAAATATTTATTTAAATTGTGAAGAATATTTTAGTTTTTAAAAGGTAAAATAATTTTTTTTAATATGAATCAATTGACAATTAATCGATAATTTTTATTAAATTGACATATCAAATCAATCTAATTTACGAATCTACATTAATTCAATTATCTAAACACAACCACTTCAACAATTTATATACTAATACTTCAAGATATTAATTTGTTATGTTCTGAATTAACAATCAACTGTTAACTTAATTCGAGTCAACAATGTCAATTCTAATCTCTTGGAGCTAATCATAGGCAATGTATACTTAAAACTTCCCATCTCACAAATAAAGTAGCACTATTCAAATACCATTAATCAATTGGCTTTGTCTTAACCTTAAGTACTATTTTCTTTCTATTCTATTCTTATACTAATCTCTTATTTAAGTATTGAAACATAACCATTGAGATCATTCTTAATTTTTTATGTTAATCGTTTTCTTTCTTTCTTTTTTTTTTTAGATTTTTAATATTTTTTTCTTTCAAGATAACTTGGCACAAACATAAATATTTTTTAGTTTTAATTAAATCAAGTAATTTTAAGAGAGTACCAAGGTCATCTCTACTCACGCCAAGGTGCCAAATTACTTGCTACATATAATTCTTATGTTCGAGATCTCGGAAAAGAGTAGTTATAAATGAAACTTTGAATTTTATTGCATTGAATTATTGATCAAAAGAAAAGTTACTTTCTAAAGATATTTTTCTTTAAAAGGTTTCAAGTTGATTCATATAAAGTTAGATGTGGGGCCATTTTATATCTTTTGATTGAAAATTTAGATAAGATAAGATCAAAGTGAGTCTATAAAATGTTACTAATCTAACATCTATGAGAGAATGGGTTGATTTTAGGCTTTATAAATTATGGGTCTTCTTCCAACCGATAAACGTAATAATCATATCTTATAGATTGGAAATGCGGACCCATAACACAAGTACAATCATAGCCGACCATTGAGTTGCTTTAAATTCAGCAATTAAAAAGCTCTTTAGACCACTTTGGTTCACACTCATCAAAATAAGTCAACAGGTGTGGTGAAAGTTAGCTTGAAAAACTCCTCCAAATTTAAATTCAACCGATTCGATTTCATTAAAAGGGTTAACAATTTGGATTCATCTTGATTCTAATTTCAATTATTCCAAGTCTTAATTGACTACATTCAAATTAAAATGAATTCAATTTAATTTAAAAGTCGAATTGATCTGAATTAAAATTAATTCGATTTGAAATGATCCAACCTTACATTTCAAGCTAACAATAAATATTTAAATGTTATAATTAATGGTCAAACTAGTATATTATGTAATAATATAATTTTTTTCTAGTAATATGAGAGTTACATATCAACAATTAAGTAATCAATATAAAATTTATATTTAATATACTATTAGTATATAAATATTATATATTATTAGTGAATCATATAATAATATTTCATTAAAAATTAACTTTAAAATCCTAAAAATAAATAAACTTGATTCTAAAAATATATTTAAAATTTATTTCTTTAATGATGTGTCATTATGCTATTCATTGATAGTTATAACATAATATACAATGTATCAAATATAAACCCGTTAAGACATCAACAATATTATTTTTGATATTATCATACTTTTTAGTAATAACACTAATAATAAGTCTTTTTAAAATTATATAATTATTGTTCTATTTTCAATTCATTATTAATAAATAACATGGATGAATATGAGTTTATAAAATCATTAATAAACTTTTTATTATAAATAAATTTAATTTTATACTTAACATAGCATAATTTTATATTATTAACAAATTGTTTTTAAATCATTTAATTTTGACAGCTTAAGCCAAACTCAAAATAATTAAATATTTTACTTAAAATGATCTGACTCAAAATAACTTAATCCAAATCCATAAACCCATTTATCACCCCCTGTAAACCAATCAACAATGGCTTTTCTCTGTACTCAAAACTGATTACCGGCCCATCGAGGCTAGCTTACTATAGTTTTTTTTGTTTTGTTTTTTTGTTTTCCTTTGTCGAATGGTATTGTATCCCCTCCCCCTTGGGGAAGGCTAGCTGAGTCCAAACATGCATGGAAGCCCACTAAAAAAACGAAGCAATACCACTCTGCCATGAAGCTCAGCGTTATCGTGAATTTATACTCAAAAATTATAAAGTCACTGTCAATATTTTTTAATTAAATATGATTAATTATTTATGTAAATTTATTTTTTAAAAAAGTTATTTTAAGTATAAAGAAGAAATCCTAAAAAAAATAAATTTTGATTTACATTAATAAAATAAAGTTTGAGAGTAAATTACATATAAGAAAAATTTTAGCATTTTTTTATATATAAAATTGATACCAAACTAATTATATATTATTTTACCTACACATTAATTAAAGATGATTTTTATTATGCAAATTAATCAATTTCAATCATTTTATTTATTTACACAACATTATCATATAAAAAAAATATTATGCAATCATGCAAATATAATAAATATCATATTAATATAAAAATCATACCAAAAATTATGTCAAGATATCATGTAATAAATTAAATTCATACCAAAATTATTAGGCAATATCATATAATAATATGAAATATCATGAAAAATTATAAGTCTAAAATCATCATACGAATATCAATATCATGCAAATATAAATCACATAAATATAAATAATTGTGTAATTAAATTAATAAATTATGTAATCAAATTAAATTCAAATAAATAACATAGATATAAAAAAAAGCTAGAATCCTCTTTTTTTTTTTTAAATTAATATAAGTAAAATAATAAAAACAGAATTAAGATATCAAACAAATAATAAATAAACAAAATAAACAGATTAAACAAGAAGAGAACAAAAAACCTGTAACTGCCGTTGGCGGGTCGGGTTTAAAACAGATTGGTGCGCGGGTTACATGGGTTGCGGGTCAGCCTCCACTTGCTTCTATAGCCCAAAACGGCACCGTTGCTTATGGGTTACGTGGGTTGCAATTGATTGCGCAGGATGGCTGGAAATTTAATTGCATGTCTCTCTGTTTTGCCTTCTTGCACTGCTGGTTCTGTCTCTGCAAATTGTTTTTGAAAACTTGGCTTGTTGCTTACTGTGTTGACAATTGTTTGATGCTTGATGATGAAGTTCTTGCCGTGATTTGCAGAAAATTGGATTCTTGTCTGAATGCTTTCTGCTTCTTGCTGCTTCTTGCGTTTGTTGCTCGATACCTCTCTGTTTTGCTTGATTGAATTTGCTAGATTGCTTCTGTATCACTTGAGCTTGTTTTGCCAAATTGCACCTCGTCTCTGTTAATTGCTCCCTTCTTTGATTCTGTTTGATTGTTCCTCAATAGGCCTCTGTTTGATCTTCATTTGCTACCGTCCGGCCCCCCTGCTATTGCAGATTGGAAGTTGTTTTATAGGGATAAATCCTTCTTCAATTTGAACAAATTTTAACGCTCACCGAATCTCCAAGATTTTTTCTGTGATTTCCCCCCCCTTTTTTTTTTTTTCATGGATTGAAGTTTAAGAATTTTCATATCTGATTAATCAATAAATTCTAAATACCAAAACCCAATAAAATATCATCCCTTTTGCAAAATCCTTTTTTTTTTTTTTGTCCTGAGTTTTTGTTTGACTTTATGACATTGACCAAAACTGAAATAAAATAAAATTAAAATCAAAATCAAAATTAATATAAAAATAAAAGTCAAAATTACAATCAAAATTAAAAATTTTGAGCTTTTAATCTTTAAATCCAAAATTTATTTTTTGATTTAAAATTCACTTGTATAATCAAATCAAAATTTGAAGTTTAATGAATTTTGAAAAAATTTAGAATAAAATGAAATGTCTACACTTCAATTCAACAAGCATGACACATCGTACAGATAAAATAAGAAATTAATAACCTTACAACATATTACAACATTTTCCAAATGCATAGTAGTGTGCAATCAATTGACTCAGTTTAAAAAACCGAAAACTGATTCAATTGATTTTTTTTTATCAAATAACTGAACTGATTGACCTATTTTTAATATCCTATAATAATCGAATCGATATAAAATTGGCCGGTTCGATCCAAAATAACCTTCTTTTTTTTACCATATTTTGCCACAAAGTTCTAATTTTCACCCAATGAGACAATATAACAATTCCCACGATTTTCAAGAAACTTAAATCAGTGCTAGTAATCAAGCACACATTACAGTTTGGTTGCATTTTTCTTGTTGAGGTCTTTGCAAATAGATGCCTTGCAGGAAAGCATATTTTGCTTTCCCAGTGACAATCAAAATGGACTCTGAACGTCTGAACTTAAAAATTGGAGATTGGTATAGAACAATGAGTACCGAAAACAAATTGTTGTGTTTAATGAATCTACCTAATATCCTCAGCAGACTCTATAGCTATCAAGCTGTCTTTGCAACCTGAGGCAGCGTTTTCAGAAGGGACATTGAAGGCCTTCTTACAGTGTGATTGAGCAGGAGCATGAGTGTCAAAAGGGTTAAGGCCCCTGCCTGATGTGCAGTGCCAAGTGAAACAGGTACATATGATAGAAGTGTTGATACACCTAAGGTTACCTACAAGAATGAAAAATAGAATATACAGAGTTAATAATCTGAACTATTAAAGGAAAAACTGGATTTGTGAAGATCCTATTTTTGTTTAAACGAAAGAGATTTAAAAATCGCCAAGAGCCGTGTGATCTGTTGGTAGAGTGCTGAACTTTTAGTTCTAGTGATCAAGCTCAAATCCTGATAACCTTAAGTATAAAAGAAAGAGACTTCAAAACCTAGGGCAAGCAATCACCTGAAGAGCAGCCATTCCAAATGTGCTTCCAACCAAAGATCGAATAGCCGGATGGATGTCCAACTTTCTGGTTGACCACCACAAAGCACAAATAGAAATTAAAGTAGTAGTCGCAAGGATACGGTGGTCAAGCTGTGAAAAGCAAAGCAGATTTGATATGTTATTGAAAAAGTTGTTTCTCATTATTGTGAAGATATAGTTATCACTTACTAGAACGGACAATAGCCTTGTGAAATTGAATTTGTATGCATAATCATTACGCTCATGCAATTTAAAGTGATGGCAAATCTTAATGCATGGTAACTTACACACCAAGGGGTAATTGATTTCTCAGAAAGTGGCTGTTATACCTGATCCATGGCCGGCTTCTGTCAATGGAATCCAAGTTTAAAGGGGCACTTATAACTATCTGAAGAGACATCTATATATAGGGGAACACCTTCTTTAAGTAGACTTTACAGAACTAGAAGCCTTATTGCGTTCAACCAAAAGGTTATCACTCTGAACATGAAGCAATCGATGAGAAAATGAACAAGAGGAACAAAATCAAATTTTATGTGACAATTCCAGGTTTATAAATATACTCTTTAACAAATTATCCTCTATAAATTACTAATGCCTTTGCTTAATTCAATTCCCCTTTTCTAAGCAATCATAAGAGCACCTAATGCAATCGCCTAGAAGATCATGAAGTTCCCTGGCTTATATGGTCTAAGAGGTAATATTAGAGAGGACAAATTACCTGCACTGTCGATGTATTCTCAAAGAAGTTACGGATTAATGGCTTCAACTCAAATATATTATCGGGAATCCATGCATCTCCCATCTTTGGAAAAGTATTGTATGCCCGTCCCTAGAAATTAGTATACACAGACTGCTCATCAGCAAGGATCACAAAAGATTTATAAGGTTATTATGAAAGAATAGATGCAAGAAATGAACAAGAATAGCTACATACAGCATCATTTCCTGCAACAAATGCTCCTGAGACAGCAGTAATGCCTACAATGAGGCCCACTGGAATAGCAAGCCTCTTGACTTTGGCAGCTCCTTGAACCCAAGCTAATGATTCAGCAGGAGGTTCAGGCATTACAACAGAAAGAGCGGTCCAGAACAGGCCACTGTAAATAACAAATGCTGAAGTAAGATGAGCAGCAAGTCGGTAAGGGCTCACTCGGGGCTGAACATATTCAGAAGCAGGCTCCTGAAGGAAGAAATCATCAGCACAGTGGATACTATTCTACTAATTTGAATTCAAATTTGCTAAGAAAGATGAAAATGAAAATAGGAAAAGCTAATTGCTTCTCACCTCTAAACCACTTTTGACCATCCACCAACCAATTAGACCCTGGCCAGCACCAAGAGCAAAAAGAGCAGAGAGTCCTAGTCCAAGGCGCAGGGTAATATATCCCTTACGAAGAAAATACGAGAATGGCAATGCAAACATGACACCTAAGGCTCTCCCCCACATTCGATGTGCATATTCCATCCAGTATATAAATTTAAAATCTTCGATACTCATCCCTTTGTTTACTCTGCATGATACAGGCAAATTAAATTAAAAGAAAATCGTTAATAGACAATATGCCTTCAAAGAACTGAAAAGAATAGTACTTCTCCCCGCTGATTAGCAATGTTAGTTAAACATATAATAGCAGTTATAACAACTAATTAATTCTGGCAAGTTATGGCGGTAAAATCTAAGTCATGAGAACAAGTTTACCTAGGGCTGCAAAGCATAATTAGTTGGAAGTGAAACTACTATTATTGCAACAAATATATGTGACATTTTGCTTATACCGCTTATATTCAGGTGACTGCTTGTATTTCTCAAACTCTTGCTGCCACTCCTCATCTGATAGAGGAGGAAGGGTCCCAGTGAATTTCCAATCAGTCATTGAAAGACCAGATCGGGTCAGTCGTGTGACACCACCTAGTACCACCATGGTAAAAACCCATGCAGCAGAACCAAAAAGCCATATCCCCACCATTTTCTGAGCACGTGGGCCTGCAGTTACTAGTAGCTTCAATCCCTCCTTCTCTGAGCCAACAGAGGCCACAGTGGACATATTCCTGAAGGATGGCACATGATGGCCCTAAAATGAATAAAAGAAGTTCCTTTTAGTCACATTCACATAACACTTGGAGCATATCACCAATGTTCTTTTAGATAATTTTAAGAGAAAATCTACAGCAGAAACAACTTTCTTTCATTCAATGTCCAAACTGGACTCTGAGACATCAGTTTGACGTTGAAATACTTAAGCAGTCAACAAGTGACAGGATTGCTTAAAATCCCCAGCCACTCTCAGCAATAATTCTTTAAATGGGAACCAGAGAGTGCTTCTTTAGTGACAGAATAAGTCAAAGACTATTTCCAAGTACTGTCATCTAATTGACATTTTGGTTTTATAATGACCGTTTCTAATTTAAATGAATTCCCATCATTCATCCCACACTCCAAAAGCTTTATGCAAAAAAAAGCTAAATGGGATGATCATGGACACTCCAAAGATTGGAAAATAAGAAAATTTGAAAACAAAAGTTACACTAAACACCCCAAAATTTTCCCCTAGACACCCTTTTAAGTCAATAAAATTGGTAAATCCATCCATAGTTTTTTTATATTTATTATAAGTAAACCCCAAAAAAAATCCTGATCCGCCATTGCCACCAAGTCCACAATATATCAGTAACTGCGTAAACAAATGAACAAAATTTTATTTGGTCAACAATAAATCTCAAATCTTTTACCATAAACAACAAAATAAATACTACAAGACCGTAAACAATTCAAGTCAATCACATCCATTCTCATGAAAAAAAAAAAAGAAGAAGGGATACCCATCTCAATAAAGCGAATAAAGAATCGAAATTGAGAAAGAAAAGAACCTTAGGCAGAGATCTGAAGCCATAAAAGGAACTCCTTGCAACTGTATTATTAGCAGAAGAAGAAGAAACAAAAACACGAGAGGAAGACGTTCCCTTGAGATTGGACGTTAAGCCATTGAGTATAGCTTTGTTTCTCTTTAGAATTGAAGCAACCACTCTGCTTTGGAACATTTCTTTTCTTGCGCTTCTCTCTCGCTGTCTGTTCGACTCTTAAACCTGAGGGTTTTGGGGAGGATTTTTGACAAACTGGTAAACCTTAATGGGTCATTTTAGTACCAGGTTTGGAGGATCCGTTTTACTGTTTGTTTTGTTGGTCTCAAAACGGGTTGCTGGTTAACGTACGTTACTTTGTTTCTTTGTAATTTGGATCGAGGGTCCTATTTATACGAGGGTTGTAATAATTTAGATCGGTTCGAGTTTTTAGTATTATATAATATTATAAATTTTTAAATTTTAATATAAATTTAAATTGACTTTTCACAATTTAATTCGAATGAATTTGAATTCAATTTAATTTGATTTATTGATTTTTTAAATTAATTTTTATTTTTATATATTATTTTAATATATAAAATTTAATATATTTAAATAAATTTTAATATAAAATTATTATTTTAATTGTATAAAAATTTAAAATATATATAAAATTAATAAAAATATATAATTCAATTTATTTCAATTTATTTATTTTTTATTTTTTATCTGAAATTTAATTCAAATTTAATATATATATATATATTTAATATTTAAATTTAACCCGAATCAAATAAAAAAAATCAATTCTAACAAAATATTACGATTTCAAATTATTATGTCTCGAATAAAATTGTTACATTTAATTTCAAGCAACCGGTTGTCTAATCTGCAAGTGTTATTGAATGAACTAAGAAGCTAAAAACTAGAACATAATGCTCTTGGTGAGATCAATTAGCATTTAACAATAGCCAGCTTAACGGCAACTTGCCATTTTTTCCTTTCAAAAGGACCTCTTTTGCTTGTCATTATTACATCAAGACATGGGCTCGTCCATGAACAAATAACTTGTAACCTCTTAGTAGTTGAAACAATTAGGTATGAAATTTTTATTGCAACTTTTGTAACATGTTCAATCATTTGATCAGTTTAGGTAGTATAATGGATCTATGTATGGTGATTTGTACTATTAAGCAAATAACTTTTGTAGTAATTAAACAAATTTTTGTATTTTTAAAGGTTATAAATTAATGAAATGAAGCTCATGATCTGACAGAGCTAATTTACTGCAACTACTATTAGTTTCTTCATTTTTTCCTTTGTTATTTCTCCACTCTAGATCCTTTAATTGGTATCAAGGCTTCTTTAAAGTCTTAGAAGACCTGTGAGCTCCTGAAATTGAGTAAAAAGCCATCAAACACTTACCAACTAGTTTTTGTCAACCTTAAATGGCCTTAAGCAATTGCTCATTACCTCCACCTCTTATTTTTTCTAGTGAAAACTACCAAATATAGGCTGTCAAAATGACGTCCTATTTAAGTACTTTTGATTTGTGGGAAGTGATGGACAATGAGAAGGAACCACCACAACTTCCTGCAAATTCAACAGTAACTTAAATAAAAAAGTATAGTGAAGAAAAAGCAAATAGGCATAAGGCTAAAAGCTGTATTGAGTTTTCAATTTTTGATGACATATTCATCAGAATCATAACTTGTGAAACTGTAAAACAAGCTTGGGATATGCTCAATGAAGAATTTTAAGGCAGTGACAAGATAAGACAAGACAAATACAAGTGTTGAAACTTAGAAGAGAGTTTGAAGTCTTAAAGATGAAAAAATTTAAAAATTTAAAGGAGTACAATGACAGACTCATGAAAATAATAAATATGATTAGATTACTTGATGAAGAGCTATCAGATAAAAAAATTATGGAGAAGGTTCTTGTTAGCTTACCAGAGAGGTTTGAGTAAAAAATTTCATCCTTTGAAGACTCCAAAGACCTGACCAAGATAACTCTGGTAGAGTTGTTCAATGCTTTGGAAGCTCAAGAGCAAAGAAGGGCTATCAAACAATAAGATTTAATAGAAGGTGCTTTTACAGTCAAGGAGAAAGGTAAGATGTAAGCATAAAACAAAAGTAGAAAATAAGGAGATCGAAGAAACAAAGGTTCTGGAAACAATGGAAAGAAACAAAAATTTTCACCTTGCTCTCACTATAAAAAGATCACTCACTTGGAGAAATATTGTTGGTACAGACCTAACATACAATATAGGTATTATAAGCAGCTTGGTTATATGGAAAAGGTATGCAAAAACAAAAAAATAGTAGCAGCTAGATCAACAAGCCAGAGTTGCTAACAACCAACAACAACTAGAAGAGCAAGTTTTTGTTACAGCTTGCTATGCAACTAGAACCTCATCAAATCATAGCTCATTGATAGTGGTTGCACACACATATGGCAACTGATATCAACATGTTCAAAAAACTAATCAAGATTTATACCTCTAAAGTCAAAATAGGTAATGGTGAGTTCATAAAAGTCAACGAAAAAGTAGTAGTGGCTATTGAGACACTAACAAGTACCAAACTCATTTCAGATATGTTATTATGCCTAAAATAGATCAAAACCTATTAAGTGTAGAACAGTTACTAGAAAAAAAACTACTTTTTAGTTTTCAAAGACAAGGCATGCATAATTCATGATCCCACTGGCCATGAACTTTTTATTGTTAATATGAAAGGAAAATGTTTTTCCTTGAACTAGCGTAAAGCAAACTCCTCTACTTATGGTAGTTCACATGATGAATCTTTTTCATGGCATAAAAGGATGGGACATTTCAACTACAATGCATTGAATTTCATGTATAAAAATGATCTTATACTAAACATGCCTACTATTGAAGCTAGTGCTGAAGTGTGTGAAGTTTGTCAACTAGGAAAATAAAGTAATTGCCATTTGCAATTAACAAAGTATTGAGGGCAATTGAAAAACTACAATTTGTTCATACTAATGTTTGTGATCCTATGAGAACTTGTCTTTGAATGGTAGTAGATATTTCATTGCTTTTATAGATGATTTTACCAAAATGTGTTAGATTTACTTCATGAAACAAAAGTCTGAAGTTACAGATGTATTTTAGAAGTTACAGATATATTTTAGAAGTTCAAGGCTTGGATTGAGAATCAAAGTGGCTGTAAAATCAAGATAATAAGGTTAGACAATAGTATTGAATACACATCTGATAGATTTAATAAGTTTTGTGATGTTGTAGAAATTGAACACCAACTCATAACAACTTACACTCCACAACAAAATGGAGTCAGTGAAATGAATAATAGAACAGTCATGGAGATGAAAAGATGCATGCTGTTTGAAAAAGATCTTTTCAAGAAATTTTAGGCAGAGGCAGTCAATTCCTTTATCTACTTGCTCAATAGGCTACCTACAAAAGCTTTGAAGGAAAAAACTTCGTTCGAAGCCCGTTATAGAAGAAACTATCAGTGCAGCATCTTAAACTTTTTGATAGCATTTGTTATGTGATTGTTTTTAATATAAAAAGGGACAAACTTGATTAAAAAGTAGAAATCTATATTTTTCTGGGCTATAGCAACATCACCAAAGGTTATAGGACTTACAATCCACTTACAGGTAAAGTGATTGTAAGTAAGAACATGAGATTTAATGAACAAGCTGCCTAAAATTGGAAAAAGTCAAAGGGAGAATCAGTCAAGCAAACTGCTGTAGACATAATAAGCTTTCAAGATCAATAAGATTATATGTTTGAAAATGAAATCATTGATCAATGAACTAGTGAGAAGAATCAGACCACTCACAGATATTTATCAGAGATCAAATATTACCATTCTTGAACCTGCAAGCTTTGAAAAAGCTATTAAATTTTCAAGGTGAAGTAATGCGATAAAAGAGGAGATTCATATGATTGAGAAGAATCAAACTTGGATGCTTGTTGATAGACCAAGCAACAAAAACATCATTGGTGTTAAATGGATTTTTAGAATGAAATTGAACGCTGATGGTTCCATCAACAAACTTAAAGCTAGATTGGTAGCTAAAGGCTACTCCCAATAGCTTGGTGTTGATTGTTCAGAGATATTTGCTCCAGTTACAAAGTTGGACACCATAAGACTACTATTAGCCTTAGCAACTTAGAAAAGTTGGAAAATATACCAACTTGATGTCAAATCTACCTTCCTAAATGGTTATCTTGAAGAGATTTACATTGAATAATCTGATAGTTTTGTTGTCAAAAGAGATTAGAGCAAAGTCTATCTACTCAAGAAGGTTTTGTATGGATTAAAACAAGCTCCAAGAGCTTGGAATTCCAGAATTGATGATCATTTACCGAAGTTAAGATTCAAGAAAAGCTTTAATGAAGTAATGTTGTACATTAAAGTTTTTAACAATAATAATTTATCGGTTGTTTCTTTGTAAGTTGATGATTTTCTAGTGACAGGTAGCAAATCACCTCTTATGGAAGATTTTAAACACCAAATGCAAGAAATTTTAAGATGACAGATATGAAAAAAATATCTTATTTTCTTGGAATAGAGATTCATCAAACTAACAAGAAATCTTTATTTTTTAAAAAAAATATGCAAATGAAATCATGAATAAGTTTGGGATGAAAAATTACAAACCAACCGACACCCCTTTAGCTCAAAATCAGAAACTCATTAAGGAAGATGGAGCTAACAAAGTTGATGGTTCTATTTATAGAAACTTGGTTGGTTGCTTATTGTATTTGACAACAACAATGCCAGACATTATGTATGCTACAAATTTACTCTTTAGGTTTATATAAAATCCTAGTAAGTTGTATTTTAAGGCTGCTAAGAGAATGTTGAGATATGTCAAAAGAACCAATGAACTTGAAATTTGGTTCAAGAAGAATCTTAGTTCAAGACTGGTTGGATTCACAGACAGTGACTGGGCTAGCTCTCATGAAGACATGAAAAGCACTTTAGGTTATGTGTTCTTCATTAGATTAAATGTGTTCAGCTGAAATTCAAAGAAATAAGGAACTGTGGCTCAATCGACAGCAGAAGCAGAGTATATAGTTGTTGCAACTACTGTTAATCAAGCAATTTAGCTAAAAAAATTTTTAATGGATTTGAGTCAAAAGCAAGATGATCCAATAAAATTTTTTTGTGATAATTAGTCAGCAATTAAAATGATTAAGAACCTTGTGTTTCATGGAAGAACTTAGCATATTAAGATTAAGTATCACTTTATTAGGGAAGTTGAAGCTAAGAATGAAGTGAAGTCAGTGCATTGTAAGTCAAAAGATCAAATTACAGATATTCTAACCAAGGCCTTACCAAAGGCAAGGTTTGAAACATTAAGAAAAAGTCTTAGTGTTTCCAGTAAAAATGCCAA